GTCAGGAGTGCTCTGATGGTGTTTCCTGCTTGGCAGGGGGTTGGACTCGATGGCCCTTGTGGTCTCTTCCAACTCTATGATTCTATGATTCTATGATCATTTTGTAAAATCAAATATCTATTTAAAATAAACAATATCACTCTCTCACTCTCTCTCCAAAGAACAAAAAAAAAAAAAAAAGCAGCAGCAATGTAATGTTGGTCTTTACAAAGCCAGGAAATTGGCGTCCTCACAAGTAAATGGAGCCAGTTGCAACACCATGAATATTTTGCTGACAGTTCATGGCACTGGGAACAGCAATATCCCTCTGGCACGATGACTTCTCTTAGAACATGGCTGCATATAAGACACCAGCGAAAGCATGAAATCAAATACAGCAGCAAACGTAAAAAAAAAAAGCCACGCCAAAAATGTATTGCAAGTACAGAATTTGTGAGCCTTCTTGCGCAGATGGAGGACCATAGGGTTTTTCTTGGCCTGGAGTGTCGACAGCCAGGCCCTCAGATCCAGGCAGCATCTCCCTCCCCAGCCTCAGGATGCACAAGGGAAAGAACAAAGAATTCACAAATGTTCTTGTTCTACAGCGAGGCTGGTTTAATGTAATGAAAACACAACTTTTGTTGCAGTTGTAACACGAGAAAAGGCAACGCTTCTTGTAGGCCAAGAAAATGGACGGAGGTTGTGGGAGCAAATGGAGGACAAACCAGGATGTGTCAGGCAGAGGATGGATGGGTTTGGGGTGGGGGAGCTAAGGGGAGTGCTCCCCTATTGGGGGATAACAGGTTACATTACGATCTGTCAAAGCAGATCTGTCAATCAAAGCAGCCCCACCCACCCCGCCCTGCTCCTCCCAATCAGTGCAGTCCTCCAGAGGATAGGAGATGGCTTCAGGCTGGAGTCACGTCATAGTTCCTGTAAAGGAAGGAAACAGGGATCAGGGCAAGGAATATGAGAATACACGTTAGGCTCCTTGGGGTGATCTATTTACTGAGTATTCGTCCTGAATCTCTTGCACAAAGCATACGCAGAGGTTCAGGCACTTTCAAGCAGCCATTTCATTGAACATGCCTCCTGATTTGTTTACAGGGAGATGAGATGGCATTGGCTATTTAACGAGCTTTTGTTCTGATCTGTGTGCAGCAATGTTAGATAATGTTGCGCCCAGTGGTTTATGGGTGTCCATTGGGGAGCAGAAAGCAGGGAGTCCAACTTTAGGTTGCCCCACAGCTAATGACAGGCCAAGCCAACTCATTCTAGAATCAATGGAGACCGAGGGCTTGCCTTTGCTGCAAAATCCATGCGCAATCTAGATTGATTGCGGATTTCTTTGCGCTTCTTGAGAAACTGCTTTCATTCTGAAAATAAAAGCTTGTTGCAGATTGATTTTTCACTTCCTGTTCATTTAAAAAAACAGATGCAGCAATGGGGAGATGGGTGTCTCCCCCCCCCCGACCAATGACAGCGTTGGTGGACCAGTGAACAAGATGACAATCACCAGTTTTCTTCTTTTTTCACCTGGGGTATGGGTAGGGAGAAAAGGCTTGGATAACCTAATGAAGGGGAGAGTTTTCAAATGTTGTTCCACTAGGCCTTTGGTCAGGTGGAGCTGTTCCACCAGGCCTTTGGTCAGGGCGCAGCCTGACCCCCTCCTCTGGCAATCAGCATTCTGCACAGAATTTTGCTTGATGGTTGCCATTAATTTGATTTTAATTTGATTTAATTAATTTGTTGTTAGCCGCCCTGAGCCCAGCTTCGGCTGGGGAGGGCGGGATATAAATAAAATTTATTATTATTATTATTATTATTATTATTATTATTATTATTATTATATCAAGTAGCCCCAACCACCCTTGTACATCTAGAATCAATCTAGATAAATATAAGATTAGTGTGTAGGCAGCCCCAAAGTTCCAGTATGCATTTTGATCCCTCCCACAAATAGTGACACCTTAATTACAAATACGTGGGCTGCATTCATATTCCAGCATTTGGACATTCAAAAGATGGAATTAATTAGAGATAAAGAAACAGGAATGGGTGGGTGGGAAGGCGTCGCTCACCTTGTCCGCTTCTTCCCTCTGCATCGAGATTTTCCATGTTTCCCACCTGAAAGTAGAGAGAGAACAAACCGTTTTCTGAACTCTTCCTCCTAGTGTAAAGGCCCATTTTCTGAACCCTAACCCTTCAGCCTCCCCTCTCTAGCCCCCTCCTAAGATCTACCAGATCCTGTTGCCAGATACAAAAGGCATACTATTAAAATGGGGGCGGGCAGGGCTGGAGGAAGCCACAGTGCCTCTAAGCAGCTGTTGAGTGCAGGATTTGCTTTGAGTTTTGCAGATCCCAATTATCAGTTGTGCACTTACTACTTAGAGCTTGTCCACACTTCGACTTCCCCTGCCACTTTCCCCTCGGGAAACCTGCTCTTTACTGCTGAATCGAAGCAAACGTCAGCCAGGTTTTCTGTGGATTGATATTCAGTGGTAAAGAGCAGGTTTTCCCTGGGAAGGCAGCAGGGCGAACAGAAAACCACTTGGACCCGTGTCTAGAAAGAATGGGACATGCGGAAAACTGCATGGTCTTGTGCTTTCTAGGCTTGGGTGTGGATGAGCCCTTAATAAGATCTCAGATGAGGAGAGGAGAGGGGCGATTATGTGAATAGGTAAAGGTAAAGGGGCCCCTGACCATTAGGTCCAGTCGTGACGGGACTCTGGGGTTGTGGCACTCATATCGCTTTATTGGCCGAGGGAGCTGGCGTTTGTCCGCAGACAGCTTCCAGGTCATGTGGCCAGCATGACCAAGCCGCTTCTGGCGAACCAGAGCAGCGCACGGAAACACCGTTTACGTTCCCGCCGGAGCGGTACCTATTTATCTACTTGCACTTTGACATGCTTTCAAAACTGCTAGGTTGGCAGGAGCAGGGACTGAGCAACGGGAGCTCACCCCCATCACAGGGATTCGAACCGCCAACCTTCTGATTGGCAAGTCCTAGGCTCTGTGATTTAACCCACAGCACCACCTGCGTCCCTTACGATTATGTGAATATCCAGGCACAATTATACTCTACTTCTCCACTCTTTTGCCACCCACATTTAGGGAGAGAGCTCAAAGCAGCTCCACTCATCCCAGTTGCTCATACTTACAGGTGAGAATGAGAATGCCAAGGATGAAGAGGATGGCAGCAGCTATCAAGCCCCCTTTGCGCAGGGAATAGTAATCTGCAAGGGTATGGAGAAAAGCAGCCATTTAATGCAAGCCTGAAGTACACACTAAAGCTGTGTACAAATTAGCAGCTCAAAATACAGCAAGGCTGTTCTTTTTCTCAATTAGGATCAAAGCTGGTGGGGGCAGGGAGGAAGCAAAATATAGTACAACAGCAGTGCTTTTTTTTGTCCTAGAAAAAGAAGTGCTGGAACTCACCATGAAATCCTCCCTAGTTCTCCTGAGTTCCTGTGAGTTCCCCCTGAAAAAGCCACGTGCAACAGTGTACACACTCCTGTTTAATCTGCAGCCAGCACATTTCGGATTCTTTTGGGAAATGGTGTACAAACAATGTAAGCCAAAGTAGCAGTGGGAGTGCACTGGGTGTAAACAGGAATGGGTACATCACCATTCCTTCACTCTGTTTCCAGAGTTGAGAGATGAGTGTTGTTCCTTTAAGTACCATATTTTTTGCTCTATAAGACTCACTTTTCCCCTCCTAAAAAGTAAGGGGAAATGTGTGTGCGTCTTATGGAGCGAATGCAGGCTGCGCAGCTATCACAGAAGCCAGAACAGCAAGAGGGATTGCTGCTTTCACTACGCAGCGATCCCTGTTGTTGTTCTGGCTTCTGAGATTCAGAATATTTTTTTCTTGTTTTCCTCCTCCAAAAACTAGGTGCGTCTTATGGTCTGGTGCGTCTTATAGAGCAAAAAATACGGTAGCCAAAACTGCACTAGCCACAAACAAGAGGATCAAGGAGGTTGGGAGAACCCCCAAGGTTTCCATAAATACAAAAAGAATGTAAAAGGTAAAGGGACCCCTGACTGTTAGGTCTAGTCACGGACGACTCTGGGGTTGCGTGCTCACTCGCTTTATTGGCCAAGGGACCTTCCGTACAGCTTCTGGGTCGTGTGGCCAGCATGACTAAGCCACTTCTGGCTAACCAGAGCAGTGCACGGAAACGCCATTTACCTTCCCGCCGGAGCAGTACCTATTTATCTACTTGCACTTTGACGTGCTTTCGAACTGCTAGGTTGGCAGGAGCTGGGACCGAACAACGGGAGCTCACCCCGTCGCGGGGATTCGAACCACCGACCTTCTGATCGGCAAGTCCTAGGTTCTGTGGTTTAACCCACAGCGCCACCCGCATCCCTTTACAAAAAGAATGTAGGGGTGAGCAAACCCTAAACAGGCCAATGAAAACTGAGCATGCTCAGCGACCATGGAATGTTGGCTACAGCTGTGTGCAAACTATTCTTCTAAGGAAATTTCAAAGCACATTCTTTCCCTCAAAGAATTCTGGGCACCATAATTTACCTCTCACAGAGTTGCTGCTCCCAGCAACCCTTGACAAACTGGTACCCAGAATTATCTGAGGCGCGGAAATGTACTTGAATGTGTTGCAAAGGTGTACTGTGTACACAACCAGATAATGGCTTTTAAGAGAGCTCAAAGGAGAGAGGACCCCTATTTCTTTTGTCCCACTGTCTCCTCTGTTCAGTTGAGTTGTGCAAGTTTTCCAAAGGTGCGAAGGTCTGCATTACCTCTTAATGGATGACAATAGTGAGATGAGTAAACATCTCAGGAGAAACCAACTTTCACTGAAAGCCCCTTTTAAGTATCTGGAAAAGTATCTATTGTTATGAGTTTGAGGGGGAGGAAGTAGGCTGTCTGCAAGATCCTTCTAACCCCTGGATTCAGCAAGTGTTAAAATATAAGCCAGGCTGGCTTCCTGTGCTGGGGTGATCACCTGGGTGATGGGCCATTAAGAGAACAAAAGAAGGGGGCTCTTTGCGAGAAGACAAATGGGTGATATCAGAGATAGTTAGAAAGACAAAGCCTGAGTCTGGAGTTGAGTTTGCAGTGATGTAACCTAGAAGTAAAGCAACAAACTGGAGGGAGGATCAGAGGGAAATGTTTCATTTCTGTTTCAATCGAATGCTGTGGCCATAGGAGAAACAAGACCCTTCTGGGCTGTTAATGCTGTGAACCCTTCCAGTGTAGGCTCAGGTTGTATACATGTGTAAGCAAACCATATATGATAAAGACACCACAGTTTCTGCTGTGCCTCATTCCCAAACGGAAACACAAGGCCTGGATTAGCACCTGGAACCCTAGAATCCCCACCGCTCGGAGATGGGGTGGCATGCAACACAATGGTCTGTTTCCAGCTTGTTGAGACTCACCATAATGGAAAACATTCTCTTGGTAATCTACCTTCCAAACATCTGTTAAAAAAGAAGGGAATGTGAGATAGTGAGAAATAAGCCTGGCTTGCCATTATGGGGAAGGAGAGGTCATGTCTGCTCCTCCTGCTACAGCAGAGGTGGGGAAACTCAGACCTACAGGCTAAATGTGCCCCTCCAAGCCCCTCAATCTGGCCCTCTCCTAGGCCACACCCCACCCCGCCCCTGCTCTGCACCCTGCATAAGTACTTTGTCTGCTTCAGATGTGTCCTTGAAATGTGATAATGCCTCTTGCTTGCCTGGTGGAAGGATGGAGAAAAGTGTTTGCAGTGCATGAGGAAATCTCTAGCTTTTGTGTGGCTGGGCTATAGCCTTCTGTACGGAAGTGAGAGTCACACCCGTGACTGCCCACTTTTGCTTCTGGCCCCACCCACTTTTAACTCCAGCCCTGTCCAACGCTGGCCTGCAGTTCCTTGAAGGCATTGGTTTCGTCTTGGCAAAATCCCTGATATTTGCAGAAGTTTGTGTACTTAAAAATTATATTCCTGTAATATGGGGATTAATGGCAGGAGAGCAGAATGAGGGGACTGCTCAAGCAGCAAATACTGGCAAAGGGCACCTTCCTGAACCACTGGCCATAGCCTTTGGTTGGGGCAGGAACTGTGTGTGCCACATAGCCTGTCCTGCGCCCTCATAATTATCCTGCTGTCCTCACTTAAAGGACACTATTCTGTTGTTGGTGTTGAATTAAGGTTCATCTTCCAGTCCCTCAACTTCTGTACGCGGAACATGGATTTGTCTTTTGCCTTCTACATACCTGTTCTCCTCCTCTGGTCTACAGATGGCTGTTGAGCTTGGGTAACTTCTGGAAAAGAAAACGCAGAAGGAGACAGGTGAGCTGGTTCCATTCTTTTGGATGTGGCAAAGCAAACTCTTTCTGATTGTTCCCTCTCTCTGCCCACCTCCCCTCATGGGTGGTCCATGGTTCTTATGCTCACCTGCAGCACTGGTGAAGCTCACACTGCTAGGGGCGATGCCTTTAGTTGTCTCCACTTCAGCTACAGATGTCTCTTCTACTGCATATTAAGAAAAGAGTGTTACATTGGAGCTAGGATGAAATCCCCTTGTAGGTCATTTCAGTCTCCTGGCCCTACAACTTTCCTGCCAGTTCTGATGTTGCTAGCTTCCTCATGAGACCAGTCTGGCAATGGCTCGCTGGGGGTGGGTCATGAAGAACCAAAAGGCATAAATCTGACATCAAGAATCACAAGACAGAGAAACCAGTAGGAAAACACTTCAATCTCCCGGGACATTCTATACAAGATCGCAAAGTAGCTGTTTTACTACAAAGGAATTTCAGAAATAGACTGGAAAGAGAAGCTGCTGAATTGCAACTTATTACCAAACTTAAAACCATGGAGAGACCTGGTCTGAACAAAGACATTGGATTCTTATCTCATTATACATGACAAAGCCATTTTTCACCTTCTCACCCCTTGCTTTTTCCTGTAAGACCTATTGCAGTCGTTAAGAGTCGTCAACAGGCTCATCACAGCTATCTGCCAATCACCCATTCCCACCACCCTTCTGAGTAATACCCCTCCCCACCTTCTCACTATATAGGAGGATCTGGCAACTTCTGTTTCAGTGTATCTGAAGAAGTGTGCATGCACACGAAAGCTCATACCAAGAACTAACTTAGTTGGTCTTTAAGGTGCTACTGGAAGGAATTTTTTTTGTTTTAACCAAAAGGCTGATAATGGCCTGGTTTGTTTGATAATGGTGAGACATTGGCAAAACATAAGACCCTTTGCCTAGCAGCTTTTTGGGGTAAATGGTCACCCTACCCCAAAAGCTATTGGGAAGAATGTCTTATGCCTTATTCGATGGGCTTGAGGAACTGAGGTTGCCAGGGGCAAACTGTTGGGAGAATTCTGCCCCATCCATGGAGAATTGTCAAGTTGGAAGGGACCCAAAGGGCCATCTAGCTCAACCCCTTGCAATGCAGGAATATTTTTGCCCAACGTGCTCAAACCCATGACCCTGAGATTAAGAGTCTCGTGCTCTACTGACTGAAATGTCCCCCCTCTGCTCAGGACAAGGGTGGAGAATTTGGTAGGCCATTTTCACTATTACGTCATGATTTACAACTCACACACAGGCTGTGGGAATGGTGAGCCTGAACCCACCCTGACCAGTTGTTGGACTACATAATAATAATAATAATAATAATAATAATAATAATAATAATAATAATAATAATTTATACCCTGCCCATCTGGCTGGGTTTCCCCAGCCACTCTGGGCGGCTTCCAACAGAACACTAAAATACAACAACCTATTAAACATTAAAAGCTTCCCTAAACAGGGCTGCCTTCAGATGTTTTCTAAAAGTCTGGTAGTTGTTGTTCTCTTTGACATCTGGTGGGAGGGTGTTCCACAGGGCGGGTGCCACTACCGAGAAGGCCCTCTGCCTGGTCCCTGTAACTTGGCTTCTCACAGCAAGGGAACCGCCAGAAGGCCCTCAGCACTGGACCTCAGTGTCTGGGCAGAATGATGGAGGTGGAGACGCTTCTTCAGGTATACTGGACCAAGGCCGTTTAGGGCCCCAAACACAGGCCATGCTGGCTGGGGCTGGTGAGAATTGAAGTCCTGCAACATCTGTAGGATGACCACAAGTTCCCCATCCCGGTTGCAACACACAAGCATAAATGTTATCTAAGGATTTTCCCTTCCTGGAATGCTTCCAGGCAAGTGGTTTCTTGAGCATTCATCCTGATTTTGCTACCGGGAGATTAGACGGTGTTGGGTATTAACATTCATTCTGATTTGTTTTCAGGGAGGTTTTGTGAGCTTGTTTTGTGAGCACCACAGCACAACTAATAAATTGGAATGGTGTGTGGATGGTTCCAGTATAAATCTACCACTATTGCAATTTTTTTGGCAACAGTGATATGCTGAAGAACACAACCGCAAAAAAGAAAAAACCCGCTCCAGTCTAGAGGAGCCCTATGTATTTCCCGTGTGTGTGTGTGTGTGTGTGTGTAGTCATCTTTCATGCCAATATGGGGGAATTAAACATCCTTTTAAATTGACAATATTGCAGGTAGAAGTTCTGGTCTTGTCTTATTTATCTTGCACAAATATCCGTGGAATTATGGAAGGATTCCAGCCCAAAGATGTTCTCAGCCACATACCTCCTAGTGATGCATTCTCTCGTTGCTGGAAATTCTGAGGGCTTGCCGTCATACTTTCAGCCTCTGGCTCCTCTGCTATAGAAGACCAGGATATAGAGAAGAAATGTTGGGTTAGAAAGATCTGCAAGTCCTCTTCCTCGAGTGCTACACTGCTACTACCGATTGCAGCTGGCCAGATGTCAACATGGAGGGCAGAACTCCTGTGTCTTTATAAAAACAAATTGAAGCTGGTGGTTTTTACACACATCCCATTTATGCCTCTGGCCAAACAAGTTCTGCAGACTTTCATAGTGTTTCAAGAACCTTCCAAAAACTGCCGGGCCCACAGCAACAATGGGATGCGCAAATAAGGCATTTTTCAGGTTCTCCTGGTGTCTTCTTTTCCAAATCTTAAGTTCAGTTCTCCCACATTTCCACATCACCTTGCAATTTGTTTTCTGCATGAATCCCAGGCGTCGGCTATGGGAGAAGAAATATCTTCTTGGGGTGTTAATGCGGTGAGCTCCTCCATCATAGGCATAGGTTGTCAATATGTGTAAATAAACCATGTCTTCTAAAGACTGTCCCTCATTTTAAGGAAACCAGTTGGGGTTGCGTGCAACAATATATATGTTGTTATAAATTAGGTATGTTTTGCAAGTTGCAAGTCCACAGTTAGAATCAACAAGCAGCTGTAACAAAGTTGACAAGCAACTGAAACAAAAATGTACCAAGGTATTTTCCCCTTGAAGTGCAAATCAGTTTGTGCAACCAAGACTTGTAACATTCCAGATTTCACTTTCTTTACATGTAAACAAAACCCACAAAGCTTTAGGAGGATGGGGAAGCATTGTAAATTGCATTTGGTATATATGCAAGGTAATGAAATGATAAATGCAAGTATAAGTAATAAAATTAATTCTAGCCATAGATAATCAGAAAAATCCAAATAGTCAATCATTTCAATGCTTTGTAAAGCCATGGTATTTATTTGGGAACAGCAAGTTTTTTCTTACTGCAAAGGAGGTCAAGTTTCTATTACTTGCCATCTCCCCACCCTTCCTGCCTTCGGCTCTAATATAAATGTTATGTACTGAGTTGAATAGGATCCAAATTGCAGCAGTCTGATCGGTCCTAGAAGAATAGGATCCAGAATGCAGGCAGTCTGATTGGTCCGCAGGAGCCAGGTGGGAAGTGAATCCGCAACCTGATTGGCCTACAGGAGAATCCCGGAATTAGCCAATCACGTGGGGCCCTTTATGTAAATAATGTATATAAAGGAGACAGTTCGGGGAAACATCCCCATTCCTCACTACTATGAGCTGAATAAAGAGCATGAAATCCACACTCGACTCCGAGTATATGAAACGAACACCTACACTTCCTCCTTATCTATTTATATGATGGGACTGTAATGGCTGGTAATAAATGTAAAAGAAGAAGAAGAAGAAGAAGAAGAAGAAGAAGAAGAAAGAAGAAGAAGAAGAAGAAGATTATCATGGTCCTCCTCAGAAGACTATTTAGTTAAGAGTCTAAAATTACAACACTGCACCATTGTTGGTTGCATTTATTTTATTTTTTTTAATAAAATGAAAAGCAGCTTTGGGAGAGGGGAATTTAGAATAGAGAAGGAACATCGGGAGGAGCCTTTAACCCTTGCCCTGCCTGCTATTTTTCTCTGTTCAAAGTCACACATACTACATTAGCTTTATTTCCCTCCCAGGGGCATGGGGTTCAAAACTGATACTGCTGACCTTTAACTAAGAAAGAACGTGAGTGCTTTTGAAGGGGCAGGCAGATGTTGGCAGCCAAAGTGATTTGGTGTTTGTTTGTTTGGCTGCATTATGAATGCATCACCACGCCTTTTGGAAGGTCCAGGTATGGCTAGTCATTTGCAGAACTGTAAAACTTACTTGTCCTATCCTATCAAACCTATCCATTCTTAAGGAAATCAGCCCTGAGTGCTCACTGGAAGGACAGATCCTGAAGGTGAGGCTCCAGTACTTTGGCCACCTCATGAGAAGAGAAGACTCCCTGGAAACGACCCTGATGTTGGGAAAGATGGAGGGCACAAGGAGAAGGGGGCGACAGAGGACAAGATGGTTGGACAGTGTTCTCGAAGCTACCAGCATGAGTTTGACTAAACTGCGGGAGGCAGTGGAAGACAGGAGTGCCTGGTGTGCTCTGGTCCATGGGGTCACGAAGAGTCAGACATGACTAAATGACTAAACAAACAAAACTTACCTGTGGAAGGCAAAAAAGGACTCAGTTGTGGCTCTATCGCCATCTGCCTCCTGCTCCACAAGTGGGGATGAGGTACCCTGAAACCAAAGCCACAAGCTCACATAAATATCCTTCTGAGCATGCAGAGATAGCCTGATGATGTGTCAGCATAGCTAAGGAATCTGGGGCCCCTCCAGATGTTGTTCAATTCCAACTCCCATCATCCACAGTCAGCATGGCCAAAGGTCAGGGATGATGGGAGTTGGAGTCCAACCAACTGGCTGACATCAGTTTAAGCAAAATCTAAAGTCTTAAGGGCCAAGGGCTGCGTTCAACAAAACAAAGACTGGTTTTTCAGACTTAAAGTTGTTGATGACTGACCAAAAGGGAAATGCACAAATTTTTGTTTGAAAGTGCATGCTTCCTCAGCAAAATCCAAACCCAAGATCCATTTCATTTGCTGGAATGAAAGCAAGAATGCAGTGGGTTGAAGTCCTTTCTGTGCATGAACAGCAAAATCTTTCTTTTGTACATGTTTATCCTAGGCTTTCTGCAAGAAGCTTGCAGAAGTGGTTTCTCCCACCCCCTGCACTCCATTTTATCCTTGCAACAGCCCTGTGAGGTAGACTAAGTGACTGGCCCAATATCATCCAGCAGGCTTCTATGCTGAGATTTTTGTTCATGATACTTGGCTGGAGAACTGCGTTGCAAAATCAAGAGAAATGTGAATTTTGAAAGATGGCTGTGTTTTGGTTCCCATATTGTTTCAGAAAATATGAATCAGTTAAGTTTGCCTTTAATTGTAAACTGACTCCAGCTTCTCCCTGCTCTCTAGGCAGAAGCCAGCCATGGTCTGCATCTTCCAGGTGTTTTTCAGCAATGTTTTCAAGTCAGCCCATGCAATTGAACATGGCAAGGCATTACTACATCTCTCTGCTTTCCTCACCGCAAACACTTTGCAACGATAATAAATAAAGGCACTTGATTGGTTTCAAAATAGCATAAAGTAACATAAAGTAACAGCTACAAGATAAAACTTAAGAACTAAAACAGGGGTATCCAACATTTTTGGACTACAATCCCCATCAGCCAACATGGCCAGTGGTGGGCACTGATGGGAGATGTAGTCCCAAACTTCAGCAGGGGACCATATTGGTGTGCGAATATTGAGGAAAGGTAAAGGTACCCCTGCCCGAAGGCCAGTTGTGACCGACTCTAGGGTTGCGTACTCATCTCGTTCAAGAGGCCGGGAGCCGGCCGCTGTCCAAAGACACTTCCGGGTTCACGTGGCCAGCGTGACGAAGCTGCGTCTGGCGAGCCAGCACCAGCGCCGCACATGGAACGCCGTTACCTTCCCGCTGTAAAGTGGTCCCTATTTATCTACTTGCACTTAAGAATGCTTTCGAACTGCTAGGTTGACAGGAGCTGGGACCGAACGACGGGAGCTCACCCCGCCATGGGGATTCGAACCGCTAACTTACGATCGGCAAGTCCTAGGCACTGAGGTTTTCCCTACAGTGCCACCCGCGTCCCTTGAGGAAAGGTAGGAGAGGATATATGTGTTTAAATATTATCTCTCCTCGCTCACGCTTATGAGTAAGTAGCAGAGCACTTCCCTTGCACAGTGCTGGAAGCTAGCTGATGGATTTGTGAGAATCATTTGAGTTAAGCAATCTAGTCTGGCTTGTCCAGTCTGGATTGTTCCTGGTCAGTTTCCTCTTATGTTTCCCTCTGAAAATAATAATACAACAGTCTTCATTAAAGGTAACAGTAAAGTTTGCTTACATTCAGTTCACAGTAGTGTCCTGAAGGCAGGCTTCATCTTGTAGTTACATTTACAGTTGTAGAGAAAAGAAGCCTACCTTTCGGCTTACACCCTCTGAAAGGATGAGCCACGTGCTGCTGGCTAAGAGCCTGCGGATGATGGTAAAAGAGCAAAAAAAGCAGCAAAAGAGCAAAATGGCCAAAAGAGGAAGATGGCTGCGTGACTAGCCCTTTTATAGGGTCTGCTAGGGTCATACCCATCTATCTGGTCACACAGGTGTAACAGGAAGTCCTCCTGGCTGGAGCACCATTCTCCTGTGTGTCCACTCTGGGCAAACAGGAAATGTTGTATTTGACTGCTTCAGTGATGTACACCCCACAATTGGCATTCCCTGAACTTTAATGATTTGTTCTCACACGTCATTTATTTAATAATAAATAAATTTTTATTTATACCCTGCCCTTCCCATTTCAGAAACCTGGGCTCAGGGCGGCTAAAAACAAATTAAAAACACTTAATTGATGCAACAAAAACAGCATAAAATACAGTATAAAACATGAATAACAATAAGTTCAGAATTCAAAATCAATTTAGGGGGGAAATCCATCCAATAAACATTAGATGATCATCAGGGCTAGCTGGCTAAATTAATCCTATTTGGGCCAGTGAGGAGACCAGGGAAGAATTAGCTGTGGGCTCCAGACCAGGTAATTTTAATAAAAAGGGGAGGGGAGGGAAGATTAGCTTTTGTTCTCCCTCAATCTGGATTACAGAACTCGAAAACCACCAGGAGCACCGTCTGAGGAGGTCCTTCCAGAAGGATCAGTGCCTACTTCAAGGCCAAAACCTAGCTTGGAGCACCTTTATTGACACATTCAGATAATGGAAGCTAAGCTTAGAGGAAGTCACCGCTCTTGGCAGTTCCCATAAGCAGCTTGTTGCAATTTGCAGCGACTGAAAGCGCCCAAGCAGCTGGAGGGTCTGTTGCTCTGCCTCCGCAGCACATGCAGGAAGGGATGACTGGGCTGAGAAACAGTCGCCATGGCATTTCTGGATTCTCAGAAATGCCGGCATATGTTTTGCCTTATTTGAGGATAATTATTTTTAATTGGCAGGGGAAAATATTTCACAACAGTATTTCTTCGCTACGTTTGCCCAAATGTCCCAGTCATTTGTCTCCAA